GTTAGTCACTAAAGATTTAATTACTTTGTACTTTCTTTGTATATGTTTTGCTAATTATTTGTTTACTTAGTATTTTGTGATCTATGGAACAAAGTTTTTTTTTCAGACTAGCATGTAAAATATATAATGATGAATTGCCTTTTGGTAGTAATAATTTTTTTTTTTTTTTATTTATTTATTTATTTATTTATATAATATCATAGTAGAAACTTTAAAATACAATAAGAAATTTGATCACAGAAAAAAATTTCTAAAATAAAGATTTCTAAACTATATTTGTGTTGCTAAAAAAATAGACATCCAATATAACATTACACCTCCTATTTCCTAATGAGTGCTATAGATAATTTTTTTAAATTATTTTCTAGCTAGGATAGGTTGGAGAAAACCTTATTGGTAGTAATAATTATTTATATATTGCATGTAATTAGACAATTTTCAAAAGATTAATTTTTTATAAAGAAACTAACAACAATGTCTAACTTCTTTTAAGAAGGTGGCACACATCTAAAGATATATGCTGCATTTTGATTATAATATTTTTTGGATATAGAATATTTAACCTTGTAGCAACTCTTGAAATACAATATCTAAAGAAGTTTGAATATGTAGTAGATTATCATACAGTATGTTGTGTTTTAAAATTAATCTGAGTAGCAGTTAAGATAACAATGTGTTATCATATTAAAAAAAGAAAGAAAAACAATAAGTAATATTTTAATTAGTAATAATTATCCAATAAAGTATACTATCTCTTCTTCTGCTAGACAGAATATTTTATAGGTCATAAAATTGAAATTAGAAGAGGAAATTACAGAATGCAGATAGCAAATTTGACTATATTCACATCAGCTAAAAAGTTTAAATATGCAAGTTCCATGACAAACTTTATGGCTTAAATTGATAATAATTTACAACTACTAAAATATTGAAAATAGTATGTTTAGTAAACATTATATGTGAAGAACATTATTTTGGTTTTGACAAAGTACTTAAAAGTATGACATAAAATTTGTCAAACAAAATATAACTAGTAATATTACCAATTAAGAAACTATAATTTTAAAGATTAAAGCAGTTCAGAATAAAAGAGATTGCCTATTAATACTTCTTGCAGAATTTGTTAATAATATTGTAATAAGTCAAAATGCTTATACAATTAAATTGTGTAAAAATTCTTTTTGGTCTCTAGTTACAAAGCTGTTATCTGCTTTTGATTCAAACTCTGCAATATATTATTTATTTAAAGATATATCAGAAATTAGCAAAAAGAATATTAAGAATATTTATTTTTTTAAAAAACTGAAAAACTGCATTTTCAAAAGATGCTAGAAAAGGATGTATATAAAACTAAGCTTTAAACTTCTAGATGTTATATATGAAATATAAATTATTATACTTATACACAACTTAAAATTATAAAAAACAAAAATGTAAACAAGTAAACAACCTTAATAATAAACTAGTTGTTTAACAGAATACTTTAGTATTACAACAGGCTTTTTCTACAACTAATTTAGCAAACCATACATGCTATACTAACATGAAAGCAGAAGATGAAATACTTATACAATTATTTGAACCTGGGAAAGTATTGCTTAAAATAAAATTTCAAAAGTACTATTAGAGCTTAGTTCAGATTGAACAGAAAAGAGAACTAAGCTGTATTAGAAAAATAATTAACACAAATATGCTCAAGAATAAAATAGCATTAGATCATTATTTAAATATAAAATAAATAGTAAAATTCAAAGATTAGAAAACAAAAATTAATAAAAATTAAAAAATTTTAAATTATCATTATTCTTTTATATATAAGCATTTTTATTTAGTTAAAATTTTCAAAAAAAATCTATTTGATTTTAACAAAAAAAATTAAAGTAACCTGAATTAACATCTAATTTATCTTATTAAAAAGTACCCTTTTAGTGAATACCTAAAAGTTACAACTAAAGTACCTTTGCACAAATAATAAACTTTGTAATGCTCTTTATTTGCCACTATTAACAATGTAAAACCAGTCATATTTTATGTACCTGAATGAGAATCTTCACATGTGTGTTAAAATATTGCAATCTTTAGATCTAATTCTATTCTATAAAAAACAAAACAATATGAGTATTTCTGATATAAAACAAAAGCATAAAACTTAAAAAGAAGCTTGTTTAAAGTCAAAATATTACTTGTTATTAATTAAGTGATGCAGTTAAAAAAAAAAGTATGTCAATTTATGTTATACAAAAAATAAATCACTAGAAAGATCATCAGAAAGGACATGTCCAGTGACTGGTATTATTAAGTTATCTATTTATGCTTAAATTTTTTCAGATTATTTTTATTGAAAATTATTGCTTACTTTAAAGTTATTGAATTATGAAAATTTTACAAAACAAAAAGTATTATAAGATAGATTTAGAGGTTACATTATAGCAGTAATTGCACAAATTTATTTATCATCAAGTTTTTCTTAGAAAATAAATGAACCATAGGCAATTGATCAACCTTAAATATTAACATAATGAAATTTTTTTCAAGGACAAACCAAATAAAAATTAAATAATTTAACATTACTAGACTTGAAAGAAACTACTTGATGACCTTTTGTATATTTGATATGAATATGTCAACTGATTCAGATCAGAAACAATTATGCTAACAAAAAAGTCAGTTCGGTCATCCAGCCTAAGCTTTTTTAAGATCAATTCCAACTTATAATTTTTTGTATTACTAGTATTTACTTGTATACGATATACTGCAAAAAAAAAAACTATAAAAAGCTTACAGACTGTATTAACAAACAAAATGGATTGGTTAGAATTAATGTTCATTATGATAATTGTGATATGTTGTAAAAAAAAAAGAAAAGAAAAGAACTTACTCACTATATTGACAAACAAAATATTTGGATTAGTTAGAATTGATGTTCGTTAGAATATTTACTTGTATGTGATATGCTGTAAAAAAAAAAAACTTACCAACTGTATTGACAAAAAAAATATTTGGATTTGTTAGAATTAATGTTTGTTAGGATATTTACTTATACATAATATGCTGTAAAAAATAAAAAAAATAAAAAGCAATTTTGTAAAGAACTTACTTGCTGTATTGATAAATAAAATATTTGGATTAGTAGAATTAACGTTCGTTAAGGTATTTACTTGTACATAATATTCTGTAAAAAAAAAAACTTATTGTATTGATAAACAAAATATCTAATCATAGATTTTTATTAATTTTAGATACAACCTGATGTCATAAACTCAAAGTTCCAGTAATTAATGATTTTATTTCCAGTACCAACACTGAATTTTAAAATAGTTTAGTGTAGTAATAGTCAACTTGCGTTACCTCATATTTCCGGAATATTTCAGAACTTTAAATTTAACCTCGCCTTCTACTTTCGATGACATTCCTTTCAGATATTTCAGAAATAAGGTTATTATCTCGCCTAAAAAATTAGGCATATCATTAAATCAAGTTCATGCCGCTTCATACCATAAACATGCCGTTAGCATTCCAATGATATAATTATATATGAAGACTTTGTAGAGAAAGGATCCAAACTCGAAAATATAGGAGATAATTGGCCTACTTTGTTTAGATGAACTTGTGCTAATCTTATGATTCATAAGTCTATCTTAATATTTTAATATGCAAATCGATTTCATTTATAATTGAAAATGTAATTCGTGCTAGAATCTTTGAAAACTTATACTTGATTTCCGAATCAATTAAGGCTCTTCTACCGCAAAGGCACCATATTTATTAATAAAATATATTGTGTATTAGTATTATTATGGTTTAATCATTTAAATAATGATGTCATGTCCAATAGGCATTAAAATTCGAACATGCCAATTTCCCTATAATCACGTGTTTGTTTTAGACTGAACGGTTATATCCAATAAAAAAATGAACAATATGGACCTAGCCTATAAATGTCCATGTCCATTAATCCATATTATCCTTATGGGCAGACGTTCGTCTGATTAGGAAATAAATCCAATTTAATTTTACATTATTTATACAGTTTAGAAAACCAACCATAATAAAATAACAAAACTATATAGAAGATTTCATTAGAGACGTAGTCAAAAATAAGATCTAATTTTCTTCCGTTTAAAAAAATTAGCTTAGTAACAAGTTGATTTTATCGGGTTTTGTATTTACCTTTTTAAACGGACGAGAATTAAATCTTATTTTTGGCTATAGAGTCCTACAGCTCTAATGAAACCTTCTGTGTTTTTTTTACTTATTATGGTTGGTTTTCTAAACTGTATAAATAATGTAAAATCAAATTGAATTTATTAGCCAATCAGACGAACTTATGCCTATAAGTATTATCCATGTCCATGTCTACATTCCAACACTGACGATTTACTGTCAAGTTCATGTAATCTAACGTAACCATTAGAGCTAAACTGCAAAGTACCTTTTCGATGGTTATACTGTCAAATCGTTATTGTTATCGGTCCAAACTCAAACTAAAAATGGGTTATTCCGAATTTTGTCCCATATCTCTATTTACAAGTATGAGACAATTTAACGTTAATTAATATTCATATTCTAAAACTAAACTTCTATGTTCGTTACATTTCAGATCGTTGTTATGATACGTTAGTTGGATATTACGTATGTAAGATACACCTTGTTTTGGACTTTAATAATTTGAACTCCATATATAAAAAAAAGGGTTTAACTAATTCAAATATTGTTAATATCCTAGAACGTCAATTCCAAACTAGTTAGATTTGACAGCAACTATAATTAACAGACGAACAGATTAACAGAACTTAAAATTGGTCAGCCAATATGGTGGAAAATGTCAGATGAATAAAATTTAAACAGAAAAAAGACAATGAAGATATAAGAAAATTAATGTTGAACTTAATAAATATAGCAGATAATGACGCAAATTTTTATATTTAATTAAAAGAAGTAAAATTCTAAACAGTGCCTCATACACTTTTGTGCACCTTATAATAAAATTAAGTATATAATAGAAATTAGGTTAGACTAAGTTAGAATTAGGGTTGGCATGTAATAAAATTGTGAAAAGGATAATTTTCTTAGTTAGACAGCAGGAGTTACCCTAGTAAAATTTTGAGATATTATAAAAAGTTTAAAAATAGTATTAGGGTTAGAGTTAAAGTATAGTAAAATTACAATAGAAATGTTTTTGCTTAGTAGTAAAATTTTGAGTTATCATAGAAAGGGCACAAAGTGCACGGAGCACTGACTAGTTCTTTCCTTAAAATAATTCGAAATTTTGTTTTAAAATAAAAATTTTTGAAAATTAAACCTTTACAGTTAATAGATAGATATAATTCGATTCAATAATTTATAATATATCAATGTGCTCATACTGAGAAATCTAGATCGAAAAAATGCATTTTGTTGCTTTAATTTTTCCGAGTAGTCTTTATTTTGTATATATAGTACGTATCGATAGTTAATCATGGTCAAATCATTTAACTCACATGTCAGGTAGTGTAAAAATGCGCGATGATTTATAAAACAACACATGACTTTAACGGGGTAAATATGTACGATTATTGGACAAACTTTGTTGATTGTGCTACGTCACACCTGATCTTGAAATCTGATTTGTTTAAACAAAAAATTACGTATTTGAAGTGTAGATCTGTTTACATGTTTACATTATTCGCTTTTCTCGTTCTTTTTAAATATCGCAATAACTTTTATATTTTATATTTTAATATGGAAAGTAAAATTTGTGTTCTCTATCTTATACTATTATAGTGTAGAGAGGTCGGTTCTCTTTAGACAAGCCAACAAGATGACTTATGGGTCGGATATCTTAGAACATATGACATAGACTATGTTGACTAAATAATCGTACGTTTAATATTATGTGTAAGCTAACCAACACAGATGAAATATTATAAGCGCAATAACATTAATTGATGGCACATAAATTTGAACCTGAGTTTACAAGAGAAGCATATCCAATTCGAGTGGTTTGATAAAAAGCAACATTTGGACTTTTACTGTTACTACGAAACAATCAGAAAGAAGTTTTATTGAGGAATTTATGAAATGAATCTAAAGTTTGAACTTGGGTACAAATTTATCGTTCAGAAAATAGGTATCAATAATTTTGTACAATATTTTATGTTCAGCTTAGAAGTTTTTGTTTCATCTAAGTAGATGTCGTATTTCTATTTACAGAAATTCTATAAAATATCTGGCCAAAGACTGAAATTCGAAGCATTTATTTACATCCAAAAAAAATCTGTTGATATGATATTAACAAAATACACCAAGCTAGACATTATTACCAACGCTAATTGAAATTTGGATTACAATAAAAAAAGTAGTGAATTGAAATTTTTACTTGAATTTAATTTTTGTTTGGAATAGCTAATCAGTATAAATAATTAACAGTAAGTTATGTTTTAAATAAATGAATTATTAAAATGCTATAGAATCGAAATTTATTTAAAATAAGCATCTCTAATAATTTTCGAATTAATATTTATTATAATTATTTAGAGCCAAGGTCGAAATAAAAAGCTTGAATATGGATACTATATTTGCTGAAAAATGAACTCTCGAAGTAAATCAACACAAAAATAACTATGAAATCACTACGCAATTAGTATAAACACTTTTTACTATTATCTTATTAAACAAGAATCAACTATATGATAATTTAACAAACAATTTAATAGTATAAGTTATATAGTCTTACGACTTACAAATAGACAAACAAATTAATGATAATAATATTGGATTGCTATTCATACCTTCTTTTAAATATTACATTCATGTTACCAGTTTCGGGAGATGCAAATAGCAATTCGAAGTAGAATGTCGATCAAGTATTATTAGAAATGAACTTTACAAAATTATCTTGTGGGATAATGAAAAATATCGACATATTAATGCAACATAATTCATGACTAGATAAGCAAAACAAAAGAAAGTTGACGGTTATAATAACTTTACATAGCAAGAATTGAGAGTAGTGCTTATTTCACCGACCGTCAAGTTTATTATACGACAGCTATTTCACCAACAATCATTTCACTGACAAATCATTTTCATTAAAGTTAAGATTAGTGCAATGCTTTTAAAAAACTTGTTGGTAAATGAGCTGTCGTTGAATAGGTGTCGGTAAGATGAATTGTTGATGAATTGATTTTCGATGAAATGACACGGATCCGAAATTGATATGATAAGATGTTATTCCAGGTTCATAACTACTGTGCCATCGGTTAAATCAGCAAAGATATTGCGCCTATAGTAATGAGTCTGTGTGGCAAGCTTTTGCGTAATATTAAATGTATAGATTATTTAGACACATATTCCGTGTCATATGTTCTGAGCTGCCGGGTTATGAGCCATCTTGTTGGTTTGTTTAAAGGGCGTAAGATTTTTTGTTATCTGACCTAGCCTACATGAATTTAATGTAATTCGTTGGCTAACTACTATTCTATTAATTTTTTCATTCAACATTCCAATGAAAATATAACAAAAAAAGGAGATAGGAAAGTAATGCTTATTTATACTTCGATTATTAATATATTATTTTATAAATATTTACTAACTCATATTATACTTTTATTTATAATGTAGCTAGAGGTTCGGTCAACTTTAGATTAGTGCAGTATGAGCCGTTGGCTGTTCACTATTCTAATAGACCGAACCAATTCGCTTTCATATTAATAAATACTTATCATTCTTATATGATTATTTTTAAATTTTGATAAGAATGTGTGTGGTAGTAATATTATTACCTTGCTAATATGACATATTCTAGACGGCCAGATCAAGTAGTGTTCGAGTTGAAGAAAAATTTTCAAATCGATTAATGAATTTATGACTGTTGACAAAAGTAAATATTATGTCAAGCAAAGGGCTATCTCGCACTTATCAGTGACGTGTTCGATGTGATTTTCATAAAATTAGTCATATAACAATTAAGAACACGTCACTGATAAGCGCAAGATGCCACCTCTACGAAAGACTCTCTACAAAAAGCGTTGGATACAATTGAGCGAGTATAGTTTTTATTATTTTTCTTTTTGGTGTTGTTTTACTTAGCAACTTCTATCAACTAACAACAATTAATCAACAACTATTATTGCTTCCTTGTAACAGGGTGTTTGATCTTTCAATACTTGTTAAGGCTGTGAAGATGAGTTTATTTTTATTATATTCATTTCACTTTTCACCTTACTAATTACTCTATTTTAGGATACTACTAGTTTTTCCTCGATCTTTTTTCCCATAATCAACTGTTCCAAAGTTATAATCAGATAGGCTTCCTCTTTCACTTATCCATTTATGGGTCTTACCGCTGAACTCATGATTATAGTACCTGAACAAATAAAATATCTTTTCAATAAAGCCTTAAAAATTAAAGGACTTTGCTACATGAAAATTCAGTTTATTAAAAAAGATCCGACTTATCGATCGAAATTTCAAATATAAACTTTGTGTGGCCTAATATTTGGATTTGGTATCACTTAATGCCTATATTCATGGACAACTGATCCGTTTTATATTACCTTAAACAAATCCTACAGTTTGCAGCATTCAAGTACAGATCATCGAATTGGATCGCCATTTTCTATTT